TGGATGAAAATTTTTATTGCCAAAATCTGTTACAAGTTCTTTCAGTGTTGCATCTTATCTTTCTTGAGTCCTATTCACTCTTTCCATCCATTCCCTAATCCCTGTCGTATTCTGGGGACGGTCTTTGGTGACTTCCATTGTTTGGGCACCAAGGTCTGATTTTTCAGGAGTTTTGTCTTTGGTACACTTGAAATTGCCTGAGGTCTTCCCTTGGCTTTTCCTCATTTGTGACAGATCTCTTGTTTTTCTCTTTAGTTCTGTTATTCAGTGTCAGTGAGAGAGGCTTTCCCTTCTGACATTTGCTCAGACCTCTATTCTTCCCTGATCGGGCTCTGAATTTGTTCTATTTTGAAATAGGATGGTGGATAGGAAGCTCTGCTATCTCTTGTAGTTTTTGAAATTCGAATAAAGTGGGGGATGGGTTGCTATGAATCAGATCCTACTTGCAAATTAAAATATTCACTTATTGTGGTGTGTGTTCCCTGAGACCCACTCCCCACCACCACTCTATATGACAATGCAAAAGCAATGGAACACATACACACACACTCCAAAACAAACTGGATTAACAGCAAAGCAAAACAAAACAATCAGCAATAAAAAGACCCCCCCAAAAACTAACACACACACGCATGCCTAGCACAAAGTGAATAGAGAAGAAAAACAGAAAGACCAAAGGGAAAAAGGGGGGGGCGGGGTGATTCAGGTCGAATCCTCACACATCTATTGATATAACCCTTAAACTATAAAAACTGAATATAAAAAGGACCCAGAAGAGCAAAAGAACAAAAACAAACAACCACAACAAAATCGAAAGATGAACACTAAATCATTCATAAACACACATAAACAGAAAACGACAAATAAAAGAAGAAAGAAACAGAAAAAGAAAAGAAAAATAAAATAAATTTTGTTTTGGGGGGGTGCAGATCAAACCCTCACATACACATTCATGCATAAAGGAAAAATATTTTTAAAATAGATGAACTAACAAGCAGCCAAAAAAAATTTCTTAATTAAAAAATAATTGAAAATTAAAAAAACAAACAAACATAAACCTGCCCTCCTGTGACAGGCTCTGTAATTGCTCTTCAAATCAAGTCTCCTGCAGAGCCACCTCCTTCACTCTCTCCTCGTGCCTGAAGCAGGGAAGGAGGGGGGCAATGGAGGTGGACGGGGCTGCATCCTCCCCTCCCACTCTCCTGTGGTCAGGGAGATCTCCGCCGGTGGGGAGGTGCAGGACGGTCTCTTCCCCAGGTGTGTCCTCTCCCCGGGGCGCCCCAGCCAGGCCTATCCTGGAATGGGGCTCTCCTGCTGCGTCTGACGTCCAGGCTCCGCCCGGCTTTGTCCCTCTCAGTAGGGCCCGGCCGTGCGGGTCTGACGTCCAGGGGGTGGCTGGGAGGGCGGGGTTGGGGTCAGCCCCGGACGCGCCACCCATCTCCTTGGAGCTCCTGCTCCTGCTTTCCTGGCCACACCTGTGTGGGTGGCTGGATCAGGGTAGGGGTGAGGCGCCTGGAACTCAGCACTTGTCAGGTCCCTCTGAAGTTTGTGCTCTCAGGAGGTTCCCTTTGGGCCTGGATCAAGCCCTGAGTAGTCGATCTGCCACTCACAGAGATCGGATCTGTTGGTCCTGTGGTGAGCAAGTTGGAGCATTTTCCTGCCCCACCTTCAGTATGGTGGTGGGCTGCCTTCTTTTCCTCTTCCATGGTAGCTTGCCTCTGGATAACATCCACAGCCCCTTCCAGCACCTTGCACGAGGCAAAGCCCAGAGCAGTCTCTCCTGCTTCAGTGGTGAGGGAGCGCCTGGGGCAATAGTGTCTCCTCCATGCACAACCACCACCACCCCCCC